TCAAGATCTGGGACGCGAGCAGCGGGACGTGTGTGCAGACACTCGAGGGCCATAGTAGTGGCCTTAGCTCAGTGGCCTTCTCGCACGACTCAACCTGGCTAGCCTCGACGTCTGGTGACAGCACTATCAGGATATGGGACGCCAGTAGCGGGAAGTGTCTACATACCCTTGATGTTGGCACATTTTTTCTACGCCTGTCTTTCGATTCTACGAGTACTTTACTCCATACAGAAAAAAGTACTATTTCTATCTCTATCTCTAGCTCACAGACTACAGACCGCATTGACACTACAATATTAAAATTGCAGTACCAGGGTGCTGGTATAAGTTCAGATTGCAAGTGGGTCATGTGCGCTGGTAGTAACATATTGTGGATACCGTCTGAATATCGACCGTCTGAAGATCGACCGTCAAGCTCGGCTGTGAGTGGGACCCGAGTAGGTATAGGAGTAGGATCAGGAAGGGTCTGGTTTTGTCAAGTGACTTAGACAGTTAATGGTAGATCAATAGAGGACCTCTTTAAATCCTCACACCTATGCATTTATTCAAAAGATTTAAGTTTAAACAATACTCGTTATACACAAGAAGGACCACGAGAAGTCCACGCTCAATCGACTAATGATAGGCAGCAAGCAACCGCGTGCTTAAGTGGTGGTTAGGCGAAGCTTCTTAAGTTCTGTATATTACGTACTAAAGGCCACCAATTACTCGAAAGCTGCTAGTATGGCGGCACGCGAAGTCCTCTCGGTAAAGCGAACGAGAGTTGCAGCAAGCTGGAACAACGTAGAGTAAACCTAGACAAAGGTTGCATAAGATGCAAGATGAAGACCGTATCTTTTAGCTTAGTTATATGGTGTCCTAGGAAAGCTGCGAATGATCATTTATCTCTGTCGTTTGCGTTAGTGTAGGGTATGTAGCTCCATGCGCACGTCTAATTTAGGATTCAGCGTACTTGAATGCCATTTTCTCCATGGCACTGCTCTTATGACTCTAACTTCCTGACTTATGCATTGTACGTTGGTGTTGAGATTTCCGGGGGTTTCTACTACTGACGTATTCCGAACGATTGCCCGCTGTGAGTCAGCGAGCCACCTTAATTGTATGGCAGCGCAGTAAGCGAAATTCCCGTCTGGTATACCGGGACCAAAGCAAATGTCCATACTCACTGCCATTTATCATGGGTAGAGCCAACCAGACGTTGGCGAAAGGCGTGCCGAAAGGCCTATGCCATTCGTACGTACCGCGCGATGGTGGGGTTCGAAAATTTCGATTTCGAGCTCTGCAATGCAAACAACGGTGACAATGTTTCGTGAAGATGGTAAGTGAGAAATAGAACAGGTCACCCAGCACATGCGTTGCATAGTCCGCTCCGTAATGTGGTAGATGCGCATACTACTGTTAGAACAAACATCCGTTGACATAAACATCAAACATGATGCCAGAATAGCAATAAATAGCACATAGAACAGGCTCAAATTGAAGCTTTTAGCATTTTGAATGGTAGGAACCTTGCCAATAGATTGTACAACTGCTCCGCGGTGGTTCGACAACTCGCTATATCAAACAGTGTCATATAGGGTTTGATTAACAGTCCTCAATTTATTCACCAGAACCTTGAATGAAAAAGGCATGTAAGCATCGCCCAACAACCCTTCAAAAAACAGGGCAAGGGAGATGGCCCATCTCTGAGGAGGAAATTCCACGTGGGACCTCGACCCAGAATGATGAAACAGAGCTACACGATCTTCAAAGTTCGCCTGATCAGCTAGTTTCTGAATGGGATCCTCAAGAAGCGATCGTACGACATCAGAAGAAGCCGGGCGCCTTTCGAGAAGATTTTCCCAATGGATCAATGCGCGGTTGAAATCGCCAAACTCAATCTCCAAGTCACTGTGGGGTTTGCAATGCTGGCTGATCGCATAAAGCTGCTTCGCAGGTGGTATAACCTCACGTAGTATGCCGGCGTAATCTGGTTCACCGTCCAGGAAGCGAGTAAGGTTAAGTTGTAGCTTTCGTTTCATTGCATCGGCCCCCGATAGGCTGTCTTTATCGATGTCGACGTTGTTGTTCTTACTAGATGCGTCTGATATTACGATATCGGCGGATTCGTCACTGGGCACATGGATATCCACTACAGACGTGGTCTCTGAACTCAGTTGAGGAGATCGAGTGTGCGACCGACCTTGTGGGATGTCTATCCTTCGGCGTTTAGATTGATTAACTGCTGATTGGGGAAAGTCTACTTCTGATCCAGTAACCACGAAGCTTGTGAAAGAGAAGGATTTGTCCGAATCGCTCGATTCGCCCGGGTTTTCTCTACTCCTAGATCGGCTACTGTCTGCTGTTGAACCTCCCCTAACCGTTGGAAGAGAATGATTTCTATGGCGCTTTGACAACGATGTGAGCTTAGGTGCATCTGAAAAGCCTTTTTCTTGAATAAGCTTAGACTGCTGTGAGCGTGATGGTGATGTAAGTTCTGATGATGGCTGTGCGGTATGTTTCACTGTCGCTAAAGGAACGCTTGTTTTCTCTCTGCAAGGTGCGTTTATCTTGGCTTGTATACGAGCAGCCATCCAGTGTCGGAGATTCAGTTGAATACTGAAAAGATCAGCATTTTCCTCGTAGACAGCTGTAAGCTATTGAGTTTTACCTGTCTTCGTCGTTGCTCTTATATCCGGATTTTGTCTGGACACCCCACCGAGGCCGTTGCCCTTGCAGATTGCTCTTTAGTCGTGTCTTAGCCCCGGAGTTCTCGCCCCATATCTCCTGCCCAAATTTCAGGTCTTTGAGTATATGTACAGCTTCTTTCTCGAGAAAAGCGTCGCCACACAACTCTTTATAACGCTTATCCTCCTTCTGCGCGAACTCATTGACCACTTTGTTCACTTGTTCTGCGAATTTGATAACAACTGAGTCCAAGAACTTAGGATGTAAAGTGCGATCGTTCTCCGCGACAAGCCACAGCTTTCGGATGTACTCTTTGGTATGCTCTGCTTGGATGCCTGGGAATCCAAGCAAATCGTATTTGTCTGGTTCAGTTGGCATGTTTTTTATAGGTTGTTTGGTATAAGACTTGATCCAGCTATGAAGGGTACTGTTCAATTCGATTGGCATCCCTCGCGAAGGGCCGTACGTAATCTTCTGGCTTTAGGTTCGGTCGGCGATCTGGTCGCTGCGCTGTTGCTACGTGACGTTTGTGGCGTTCGAGTGGCACTAGAAACTAAAGGGCATATTAGAAGACATGTTTACCAGATGCGAGCGCTCAGGAGGAGGTATCATACGCAACTACTATGGTTTATAAGCGCGTTCTAAGTGTGACACAGCCAAAGGCCCAAGCGGCGCGTCGTTGTTTACTAGTACTACTGGATGTGGTCAGTGCATGCAACAGTTCAGCCGATGCAACACCCCACCAAAATGGGCGCCCACCAAAAAAC